ATTATCCGATCGAGTGCAGATTGTAATATACATTAGAATGCCAATTACTTGTGAATATCTCAATTGTGACACGCTTTCACACTTATTTTGACGAAGTGTAGGCTTGTGATAATAGGATTTTTTTTTCCGAACTTTCCTCTAATACTTCAAATGTTTTAATCATTTTCTCAACATAATGAGATTAAGAAAGTACAATTCCTTCCGATATTCTAAAGATTTTATCTCTAGTATTACATCAGTCACACCCATGTCTTTCGTGTCGTAATACTTCGTAAGCATTTTCTTGGCATCATTTGGTGACTATTGCCCATCATCAATATATTGTCTATATACAAACACATAGGCATCTAGTGTATTTTTGTCACATTCATTTATTTTGAACTCATTTGACAACATCGTTTTGTCAAACTTTTGGTGCAAGGAGCTTGTTTCAGTTCATATAAGAACTCAACAAGTTTACAAACTTTGTGATTTTCACTTGGAGACACCTTCCAGTTGCTCCATGTATATCTCTTATTCTAACTCACCGTTTAGGAATCCCGTTTTCACATCTATTTGGTGAATCTCAGGGTTATGTATTGCCGCAGTTGCAAAGTAACCTTATCAAAGTGATTCTAGTCATGGATGAATATGTAAAGAAGTCAAATCCATCTTCCCGCCTATATCATTTGGCAACCAATCCAGCCTTATATTTGTTAACGGATCAATCAGGTTTTAATCCATTTACACCCTAAGGCTTATTTTCGGAAGGTATATCTATCAATTCCCATTTATAAATTTATGGAATCTATCTCACTATTGATAGCTTCTTTCCAATGTGGTGCTTCCGAAATAGACATTGCTTCTTCATTTTTTACCATATATGTTAGAAAATCCAGACAAAACGAAGTGAACGTTCTAGCCCTCTTACTACGCCTTGGTTCTTCCTTATTTGAAGATCCATTTGTAGTTTCATGTTCTTTTATTCAAACTTACATTTTTCACATTCTCAAAGAATATCACATTTCTTGACTCAATTATGGTACGCTTGTGTACATCCAATTTATGTACAAGGAAACAATATGCACTACTATTATTGGCGTATGTAATCAGTCGTTTTGGAACTAATCTTTATTTGTTTAGGCTTAGAAATCTCAACATTTACCAAACACCCCCACACTTTTAAGTGTTGGTAGGAAGAAGAATGACCTTTCCATAACTCATATGGAGTATCTTCCATTTTTTTTTTAGAGGTACAGGAAAGTATAACTTTAGCTAAGTTACCCCCATAATCCTTAAATTAGGGATATATATCCAAGGAGTAGTATTGCACCCACACTACTTGAACTTTTCATATAAGTTCTCAAATATTAATGTTAACCCCTATATTTTTGGGTTATTCTTGAACTTAGAGTTCATCAACTCTTTCATAGTTCAGTCTATTTATCACTTAGACAATATTCTTATCAAGTGCTTCGTGAAAGTCTAAATACTTTTAAACTAATGGTCGTCGATTCACACAAATAAAAATTATTTTCTATTCGACATTGTACTTCAATCGATCATATTAATTTGATCATCCAAATTAAATCAGGGTCATCACATAGACCAACAACGCTTTCAAAGCATATATCAACTTAAGTGGTTCCAAAATTGAAGTCAAATTCAACAATAAATAAGGCTAAGAAACTTCTCCTTATTCTCCATATTCACATTTGAATGAGTTAATCAATCATAGGTTGACAAGTTGTGTTCTCAAAGTCACAATCTTACAAAACGACCTCTAGAATATTTCATAATATCACAATTTGCATAACATGATTTTTATCCTTTACAAATAAATGTCATTTTACAATCATTATTTTCAAAGATATCCGGCACCACTGCCAACTATAGACACCATTTGTGCTCTATAAAATATTTTCACATTCCAATAATTGGGCAAGCAATTTTTACTTTAAATAATTAGGACAAAATCACATTTTGTCATACTCTTATGCAACAATAATTTTACATAAGTCATCTCATTTAATTTCATAGAATTATTTGAGGCTATCATCATAAATCAAGGTTACTATAATTTTCAAATCAATATCAGATGGACATATACCGTATATGAAATTTAGATATTGGATTTATACATACCGTATATACAACGTACCGTGTTTATGCACACCGTATATACAAATTACCATATTTACAGCTTATTATATATGCAGTTTACCGTATTTGCAATAGCATACTATATTTGCAATAACATACCATATTTGCACCAGCAAACCATATATGCAACAGCATACCGTATATGTATCAACATACCGTATTTTCAACTTAAATGCAACTTACCGTATATGCAACTTATCGTATATGCAGCTTACCGTATATGCATATACCATATTTACAAAGTGGTTGGTTCATCTAGCCATGACATGCACGTAAACAGATGTTAAGCCCATTTAAATTTCTTTCATAGAAATCTATCACTATATCATGACCATATGTCTTGCAACATTTTTACAGAAAATATGGACATATATATAATAGTCACCGGCCAAAACTTGTTTCATTGCATTTAAAATGAAAAGTCACATTATTCCAAACTTTTCCTCCCATGGCAGATACAAAATATACAATGAGACATCAAAACGTATTCCATAATTTCAATAGAGAGGAAATCAAAATCATGAATTGCATTAAAACATGTATTTAATAAATTTTTATTTCACATGCAATAATTTGGAGTCCCTACCACTTCCAAATCAATTTTTTCATTTCCAATTCGTGTATAATTCCATAGCAGTCATACGAGATGAAGCAATTCAAGATTTTTGGCCTTTTCCATCTTTCTAATGTGCCGAACACAATGTCAATATCTCTCTTCAATATACACATAACCATCCTGTAAAATATTTTTACGAACTAGAACCACATGCATTTTCTAATAGAAAGACAATTGCATGCCATTTAAAATACAGCCATCACTATTGGCTACCTTTTATCACCATATGGCCTCGTAACCATCGTTTTATATTTTATTATCAAATAGATAGATACGATGTAATTGCACCGCTTCGGTAACACATGAAAGGGACCCGTATTCAGCAATTAAAAGTCATCAAGACAAGGTAGCAAATTCATTCCAGTCGTCACCAACTAAATGTCTTCAAAGCATAATTTGAATAGACACTTATATATTCTTTCATCAATTAGCCATCGACTAATTCAAATTACATTCAGAGTTGAAAGGTCACCATTTTAATAAACTGAACCCCATCACTTTTCCAAAATTTAAACAATTTTTTTAAAGTTTATTCAACTGTAGCAATCGACTATTGAATTATACCAGATAAACATACCTCTATATCAGAATTTCCAATTGTTCAAAATATTATTCAACATACTGGAAACAAAAATATATTCCAGATTCTGATAGAACATAAAATGCACAACAAGCACCAAACTTCATCTTAAGATTGTTGACAAAATTACACCGATATTGTACATGTTATATTCACAAAAAACATTATGTTTATGCTCCACGAAATTGAAACATATTTTCATCTTATCGACAGGAATCGAGGAGATTAAACAACAGATTCTCTCATTTCTATCTTTATTTCAAACCTACATAAAACCAAAAGAAGGTTACTTTCTAAAATCAAGTATTAAAAAAGAAATCAGAAAGAATCAAGGTGAGATGCGAGTGATGCGATTGGTCGAGGCAAGTGTTGGACACTTTGTCCTTAAGATGAATTTGTCCCGTATTGGTGCTAACGATTTTCTGGTAATCATCTCCCAAAATACAACGACCATGCCGAGCCATAAAAATCTCCAAATGGCTTAGAACAATGAACTCGATTGGAGTTTCCTCTCTACCATAACCAGGACTTTGATACAAGTGTTTTATGCAAACTAAAGTGTAAGCATGAAATGGAATGATGTGGAACTATCTATTGACTTTCTTGAATGATAAAATCCAAATACATGGGTCTATATATAGTAGTTGAAAAATTTTGTCAAAAGACACAATCATACTAAGAGACATATCTCTTGGAATTCATAATTATTGGAAAATAATTATGCCAAATGTCATGACCATTCATATGAAAAGATATATTTTCATCCAATTATTTTCTAGAATATTTCACAATATTTTATACAATTTTTCAATAATTTCAAGTATTAAGCGGTTTACATTTGGCTTAATTTATCATTCACCAAATAACAAATTCCACTTAATAATAATTTAAAATTGGGCGCAACCAATTTTCGATACAAAATTCCAACAAAGTACACGTAATGTACTTTTTTTTTTTTTTTTAATTTCAAGACTTTTAGCAAAAAAAAAAAGGGTGTATAATTGCTTTTGGATTTTTCTTTTTGCTTTATTGAATTGGTAAAATTGTGGACAAATTTGTGATCCAAAAAAAAATCGAGTTAAAAATTAAATTTGATCATCTTATAATTGCAAAAAGCTTCTCATTTATCTTGTATTCAGTCTAATCCTCAGCTTCTAGGCTTTTCATTTACAAATTAATCCACATAAGCAACACTTTTTCGATTTGACAACCACAACTTGATACATCAAACCATGTATGTAGTCAGGCACTTCAGCATTCCGTCAATTTTTTTTATAGCCCGATGAACTAGATTAAAATTTGCAAAGTTCATTGTTGAAATTGGGCGAATTTTGAAGTTTAGTGATCCCGTGAATTTTTTTTGGTAAAGTTCAATGTCCATTTGTATTATTATCCCCATATTTTATGGTGCTTACAACTTTTTAAATACACATTTCATTATTTTAATCCCTACCACGCAAGGGCTAATTATGTAAGTTTGGGTTGTGATGGCCAAGAAACTTAAGAATGCAACCTCAAGCGCTATTGGTGTGAATGCTTGGGAACCTTATGTGAAAATTTCCCAAAATATTTGGGAATACAAATTTTCTCTTACACCTAATTAAAAATAATTATAACAAAAGAAATACAATGAAAAAAAGTAACTTTCAAGGAAAACTAAAGTGGTCAAAAGATATATTCTTAATTGAAAAATTACAAGCAAACGACTATAAAAACACACATTTACAGAATTTAAACCACATCAAATGATAGGGCTGGGGCCTTCATTACCAACTAATAATTCCCCCACATTGTTTTTCCTTTTTCTCAAATTCAAAAAATACATATAAAAATAGAAATAATTGCATTTCATCACCCCTGAGACACACCATAATTAATTTACTGTGTGATGAAATTGAACTTCCATTTTTTTTTCTTCTCAATTCTAGAATTGCACATGAGAGGATGCAAAAAGAGGATTATTCATACTTGTAGATGAACCCTTTTTCCTGGAAAACAAATCTCCCACAAGAGGAATTATTGGTTTCACTTTCTTTTTCATAACTTTTCCTTCCCTCTTCCTCCCTGTAAACAATTTTTCCTTTTCCTCAGCAATACTCAGAATTTGAGCTAAGCTTTGTGAAGTTTCTGCTGATCTTGATGAAGCCACCGCTGCTGTTGCCGCCTTGGCAGCCATATCCGCCTCGGCCTTTGCTAGTTTTGACATGTTCTTGTGCAACTCAGCATTCAATGAAGCCAGTGCCACCTCAGTTTCGGACTCTCTTTCTTTGAGTAAATTCAGTTCTGTTTTCGTTTCTTCAAGCTCGGATTCGAGCTTTTTTACAGTATCGACAAGCGAGTTTTCATTGCTGTAAATGGAATCTTGCGGACTGGGCGAGGATTTCCATGAAGGTTCTTGGAGATTTTGTGGGGTTGGTGAAAAATATGGGGTTTCTTGCCTCGGAAACGTGAAAGGCTTTGGTGAATAGATTTCTCCAGCCAGGAATTTCTCGCCAAAAATGGCGACCGCCTCTTTTACCGAGCGAAAGGGGCGTGAACTATCGACCTTAGAAAGGAAATCCATGGTCGCAACCGGCTTCTCATGGCAGTCGAAATCAGTTTGGGGTTCCATATTGTGTAAAAAAGGGAGAATACGGTAAAATATAGGAAGATGATAGGTTTGGTTTCAGTTAGTTTTCTTTGCTTTCAAGTCAAAACTTCATAGAGAGGTGGGGTGGGTGGTATATATACATACAAATTTATATGTCGTTTGAAGCTTAAGCCACAAAAGATTTTGGGGTTGTACCGAGGTAGACAGCTGAACTACCAGACAACCTTCGATAGAATCGAGCATAAGAGTAGTTATCATTAAAAGCCAGTAGTTAACTGTGCAATGCAACAGTCAAGTACTTAGAGCCTGTTTGAGGGTGATTTTATCCCTCAAAAAATTGATTTTTTGATTGTTATTTTACTATTTCGGTCGTCATATTTAACTTCCTATCCACAATGGACCTCACTTTTCTTCTAACGATCAAAAAAATTAATTTTCAAAATTACTTTTAAATAAGCTCTTATTTTTGAGAATTTTGTTTTATCTCATTAATTATAATAAATTCATAATTCTTGATTTGGAAGCTGGGTCATGCTCCTGCCAACCGCCTTCTGATAGCTTAGACCCTAAAAAGTTTGAAAATTCATGGGAGGACGGGTTTTCACCTAAATGTCAAGTCTAGGGTATCGTGACTAGTAATTAAGTGGATTAAAGTTCAAGAATTTTACTAAAAAAAGTTAAACTCTGACCTTAAGGGTCCCCCACCACCCATATTCTGGAGTATCGTGAGGGAGGTAAATCGCAGGTTATGCCTCCAAAGGTACAGGATGGAAGGCTGCTTGTACACTTGCACTTACCCAAGAGTCAAATCCATATTTCAGGATTCAAACCCTCGACGCAGCAGCCTCAAGTAAAGCTGGATTTCTCCACCTTCCCCTTTTACTACTTAGAGATGTGCCCTGGGTGCAAAAAAAAGTTCAAGAATTTTGCTATTTTTACATAAAATGGTATATAAGTAATAATCGAAAATGATGTGAAGAAAAAAGATTAGATTAAAAGTTGAATATGTTTTAAACTAACAAATAGTAGAGTGTTATATGACGTTATGTAATTCCTCATATAAATCTTGATGTACATGTAAGATCAAAAGATCAAATATCGTTTCTTCAAATACTAATCATTGAAAGTCAATTTTTATTCTACACTAAGCATCAAATTAAATTAATGTAGTTATCAATTAATGACTTGACAATTGAATTGAAAATTAAAAAATCTATACTCAACTCTATCTAACACAATCAACGCTTGAAGATATTATAAAAGATTTACGAGATTATAGTTAGAAATTTCAATTTCCCTTAGGTCAATTAACGCCCCCATTTGGCCCACTTTAAAATTCATCAATTTAATTTAAAATTTTCTCTCTTCTATTGTCAACCAAACAATTTTGAATAAAATAATATTTAACACAAATCAAAACTTTTTATTTTTTTACAACCATTCATTTAACAAAAAAAAAAAAAACACTATTCTCCTAATTATAAATCCAAATAATGGGGGCCAAACGGGGGCAACAATTACTTAATTCCATATCCTATGATCCCTTTTTTATGCATGTTAATAATCGAATTAACTAGTTCTAATCAGTGAGCTCACTTAAATCAAATCAGCCATATTCACACACCCAAATTTACTATGTGTCTAATAAAATTCCAACATACATAAATACAGAAATTCATTTAAGATAGTATAAACGAGTGAGTTACCCAAATGGTCACTGATTTTTGTAAAATGTTTCCACGAGGTCAATAAACTTTAAAAATCAGCCAATTTATTACTGAACTTTGTAAAAAATTTCCTTAAGATCATTGAATTTTTTTAAAAAAAATTCCCAAGGTCACTAAATTTAGTGACCCCTGGTAACTTTTTGCAAAGTTCAGTGACCCCGTAAAAATCTTTTGCAAAGTTCAATGATTAATTAAATGATTTTTAAAGTCAGTGACTCCGTTGAAACTTTTTTCAAAGTTCAATGACCATTTGGATAATTCACTCTAGTATAAACTATAAGAGTATGTTTTGATATGTTATCAAAACCTATGTCACTTATTGTACAAGCTAGCTAAACAAATATATCACCTCTCGGTATCAATATTGTTCCTAAATTTATTAATTTGTGCTTGAGAAATTGAATTTAATTATGCACAAAATAAGCAACTAACATGCATAAAATTGGCATGAAAACTTTGAACTAAAATAATATTAGTAACTCATGTTATATCGTTTATCTCGACAATTAAACAATTAGTCACAATCCCGGAATATCTAATAAAAGGTAAACATCATCATCGAGTTCAATTACAATGAAAAGAGAAAAGAAATCCTGACAATTGTTATTCTTCGCCTCGAGTTCCAACTATGATTTTTCAACTTTTGTTGATTAGTGCGGATTTCTCTTCTAATTTATGATATTCCGCCTTCAAATTTCGAATCCTAGCCACAATTCTAGAGAACCTAAAGATGAAATTATGACTTTGTTTGATTCCCATTTTTTTTAAAATACATTTTTTTCTCTTTTTTTTTTTTCAACCACACATTTTTCATTAAAATAATATTATACGTAAATAAAAAACTTTTCCTTATTTTTTAATTATACATTTTCCATCAATCTAATATTATAAAATACATTTTTTTCATAAAAATGGGACTCAAACATCCTCTATGTATTTTGCCACAGGAATGTGTCTTCCTTTAAAAATGAATGGAAGAAACTATTTATAAGATGAATGGGTTGAAAATCGAACCATATAATGTCAAATTAGGAGAAGAATATTCTCGGCCTCATTTGGCCTATGCAATTGCACCTAAGAGAAAGGGTCCGATCGTGTAACTTTTGTGGCTCCTGGTTCTTCTGCAGGGACCTTTGTGATCGCAATGGTCAACCTTTTTTCATTCCCCGTAGAATTCAGGCCCTCAACTATAATATCAAGAAATATATTATTATTTAAACAATTTACAATATATATAGAATGATCTCCTAAGCTCCGGCATTTAGTTTATGTTAAGTACTGATGACATAACACACCACTTAATTGATAAATAAATTAATGGTAGGTCCCAATGGCGAACGCAGACATTTTAAAATAATGGGACACAATTAAATTTGTAAAAAATACAGATTTACATTAATACAAATATCACTATATTTGTCATCCTTTTTATTTTCAGCATCATTTTCATCACTTTTATCTTGAATATTCCTTTCATTAACATTGTGATCATTAAAAAGAGAGAGAGAGAGAGAGAGAGCATATTTACGTTGAAATTATTTTTCCATCATAATTAATTTAAGTGAAAAATACAAAAATAACAGCAATTCTGATTGTTAAATTATCAAATGCATTCCAATTCAAACAAAGACAAAAAATCACAACAAGAATCCATTACCAGAAAATCATCAAAATAAGATAGAATTTGGAGCACTTAAATGGATCCTTAATTTCATTTCTTAAGAAAAAACAAAAGAAATCATAAAAAAGAAATAATTTTTCGAAAATTGAGGCATATAACTTTTGATTAAGGAATCTCTAAAAAATTAAAACTTCTTTCAAAGTTTTCAGATTTTCCGGGCCGGAGATCTTTTGCTACAAATCTGTTTTCCTTTAAAAAAAAAATAAATAAATAAAAGTATATATATATATATATATATATATATATATATTTGGTGGGTCCACCAAAGGTAGGTCCAATGTATTTAATAATTCATTAATTAAATGATGTATCATGTCACCGGTATTTAACATAAATTAAGTACTGATACTTAGGAGATCATTATATATATATATATATATATATATTTTTTTTTTTTTTTTTTTTTTTAAATTTTTAAAAAAAATGAACATGTAACTAGGTTAGGTTGGTTCGGTCAACAAACGGTTTGAAACTCAGGGGCAGACCATTAAGTGTTGAGCTGGGTCGATCGTCCTGACTAAATTTTCAAAAGCACAAACCTTAGATTGTGCTTTTTTAAATTTAAATTTTCGGATTTTTTTTGACATCTTTCAGAGTTTATTTTAACTCGTTTTTTGTATTATACCCATTGAATCATAATTCTGCGTTCGCTCCTAATTAGGATTGGATTTTGTTGTTTTAGCAGGTCCACGTTGGCACCAACAATGTAGCATGACTCGTTAGGATTTTATATTTTTGTTTTTTTACAGTTCTTAATTTTTAAAATCTATTTAAATAAAATTTATTTAAATGCCTGTCATATATGTTCTGAGTTTTTTCAAAATTTTACAAAAGATATGAGCCCTCGTTTGACCCTAATTATTTCAACATTTTAATATGCAAAATAGCTTCTTCTTTTTTTTGGAGAATGGATAGTTGAAAACGAAGAATTTTTTTTCAATTTACGTGTAATAGTGTTTTATGGAAAATTATGTTGTTGAAATTAAGAGAAGAAAAATAAAAAATAAATTAATGGGGCCAAACGGGAGCTCAAAAAGTAAAAAAATGCATTTTGAGTTTTACGTTGTAAGTTTATATTTATTTTCAAAAATGTATTTTTAAAATGTAAAATCAAACATATTTTAATTATTTTACAAAACTGAAAATTAAAAACAATCTGAAAAAAATGCACGCTTACTTTTTAATAATTGTTTTCTCCTTCATGAACCATATTTCAATTTTATACAAACACTTCACTCCCTCTCTTTTTATTCTTACTGATTGTATGGTCCAATCATATCATAAAGCTTCAACGATGGCGAAAAATTCCCCCTTCTCTCTCTTACGCAGGCTTTTGCATGTAATTACACTTCTCTCCGTCTGCTTCCTTCTCCTCCACTGCATTTCCGCCTCCTCCGCCACCAAACAACCCCACTTTGAGGGGTTCGATGCCGATGAAGATGATGAGTTTGTCATAGAACCGAATGACGTTGGACCTGTCCGGTCCCGTGCGCCCCCTATCTCTCTTTCTGAACCCACCTCGGAATCCCATCATGAAAACCCGAATCCAAAGCCCGACACCCAAATTTTGTCCCCGGTTTCAGATCCGAATTCAAATTCGAAGCCCGCTTCCACGTCGTTTGATTATTGGGACGAGGATGAGTTTGAAGGGATTCCACAAGATTTGCCCCCCGAAAATATTGTTACTAAGGAATCTGCTACCGGGTCGAAATTTGATTTGAGTTCTGACCCGGAAAAGCCCGATTCGGGGAAAGACGTGAAATCTGAAGTTTCGGATGTTATGTCTGTTATGAATCTGATGTTGTCATATTCTATTGAAATTGTATGTGTTATATTTTTTATTGTTTTCGCTATTAATTATTTAACGGGGAAAAGGGTCAACGAGAACTTGGCGTTAGCATGGGCGCGTAAGTTTGCCACTAAGGATTCAATTTTCGAAAAGAATTTTAGCTTGTTGGGTGTGGGGGAGACTGAAGATTCTCCAATTTTGTTGAAGGAAGGGAATAATGTATTTAAGTTTTATGCAAGTGGGAGGAGATTTTGCTCGGGTTTGCTGGCAACAATGGAACTCAAGAGCCGGCACGATTTGATTTCAAGACTGTATAATATGGTGGTGCAATGTAAAGATGAAATCACATTTGAGGTGTATATGAATGATGATGCGATGGATCATGTGATTTTTGCCTTGGCAAGGAAGAAGTTGGCAAAAATAATGCAGAAGGAGGTGAGGGACTTGCAGCGGTTTGCAGTGCTGGTGGCACCGCCAAGTGGGAGGAAGTGGGTGGCGGAGGAGTTGCAGGTGGTCTCTGAATCCAAGGAGGTTGCTGGGGATTTAATTACTGACATTGTACTAGATCAGGTACTGGCTTCGATCTGGCTTATATACACGCACACATAGTTGTTTCAATTGTAGTATATCTTGAATGCTCATCGAATGATTCTAGCCATTTGTTTTGGGTTCTAATTAGCTACATTTTGTGCATTTATGATTATAATGAGCTGGAAGTGAAATTTTTGTGCACTCGAGAAATGGGAATTTTATGGAATTATAAGGGTATAGCTAATCAAGGAAAAGAATAATGAATTTTTGTGTTTTTTTGTATTTATCTTTTTAGTTCTTTATGATAGTCAATGTTGGTTTGATTAATTGATTTTGGTGTTTGTTATACTGATCCTTTACCTGGTTGGAAAAAAGTTGGCATATTCTAATAGACTCGAGCCTTAAGAATCATAGTTCTTTCTTTTGTTGTGGCATATGATCTGAAGGATTGATGTTGTTTGGGGGATTGAAGTACGTCAGGAAATTGTTTCAAGTTTGGTATTTATTGCGACTCAGCACATTGAATTTGCAATTGTTTAGGGAACAGCGTAATTATTGAAAAAGTACATTTTTTACTAAATTGAATGTGCTAGAACAAGTTTGCATACATACACCTGTCTATTGATTGCAGTTATCAAAATTCTGCTCAGAAACTTAATGCATCGGTTAGTCTTTAAAGTAATTTTTTTGGTCTTTCTTCTTTTACATTCTTCTTTTGGGGTTGGATTTGATCTCTATCACAAGGTTTGGCAATAAAAATCATTTTAGTTGCTTAGTAGAACTTTGGTAGATATTTAGCTTTACACAAGCTATCGGCATTTCTTTTAACTTCCGTTTCCGCAGCTTCTAAAGATT